TTCCAACCCAAACTATTCTATGATTCTATGATATGTTAGATTGTTTGTCATGAAAGCTGCTTGATGAGCATTAACTGACCCAAATCTGTATGTTTGTCACCTGATTATCGATCCTTCCATATCTTTGCTGCAAGTATTCTTTATTTGACTTGAATTACAAAAGATTTGTAATTCAAAAAAATTCAATTTGTAATTTCAAAAAATTCAAAAAGATTTGTCTTCTACAGAAATCCCCTAAAAATGAATGTTTATATCCTCAAAATCCTTCTCAGTTCTTACTGAATTCTAAACGTTTAGATGCTTTATGTAAGCAAAATCCCTAACAAATTGAAGTATATGCTTCTAAGCCTTCTGAGAAACATTTAAATCCTGGCATTGAACAATTAATTTGAAAATTTTAGGTACTTGGTCCTATATTAATTTCTGTGAAATTATTCCTAAATGGAACAAAGTATGTCAGCATGACTTACCTTAGCTTTAAACAGAAGAACTTTGTTTTCCAAGCTGGTTATAAAAAAAACGTGGAAATGCAGAAGCAAAGTGTGGAATACATAGCTTCTAAAATTTCTTCATTTGGAGAATCCTGGAAGCTTTTTATTATTTTTTCATTATTATTTCAAAATGTTCAAATATGTGAGACAATATTTCTTTGCTTTGGTATATACAGAAGTTTGGTTTGGTTCCAGATGAGGACAACAGTGGTGTGCTACATGCACAGAAGTTCATGAGGGAGGAGAGATGGTTTCTTCTCAACCAGCCAGCTTTGTTAGTAATGAAAACAGCAGAATAGAGACAGGCTTACACATGAAGAAAAGATAAAGAAAACAGTTAATATCTGTGAGGAGTTTTTTTAAGAAGAGAATAAACTTGATTCATTGTTCATGGAAAGTGCACTTGTAACAAACCAATCAATGAAGATAAAGTGAAGAATAAGAGTCCTGAAAAATGCAGTGGAGAAGTGAACACAATAGGAAAAAAATATTAATGATTTCACATACGTTTTTGTTTCCTTTTGGAAGTTATTGACTGAACACCTACTTGGAAAGCAGAATGCAGTATCATTAGAGAGGCTTCTAAGATTGTCTCATTTTTAATTGTCTTTTTTTTTTTTTTTTTAGAAGTGGAACTGAGCCTGTCAATTGTAACTGAGTTTTAAGAGAGCTTTACATGTCTAACACCATTGTTTTAGATTTTTCAAGTGATAATCCATGCATGTGCTCACAAAGTGAGAGAATATAAACAATGCCTAATGCTTGAAACTGAAGTAATTTTTGCTTTGCAGAATTCAAACCATCTCTTCACTTTGTTTCTTACATCTGCCACCTTCAAGCCCATTTTCTGTTCTACAATCCCTGTTTGTGGTGTAACTGCAGGTATATTAGGTTTTTCAAAAGACTTGAAGGCTATTTTATGATTCCACAGCAATTTCATCAGTTGAGGACCTTTCTTCAGTTTTTAAATTTTGAAATACGTATAGCATGTCGCCTTCCTTGTTCAAACACTGCTTGGTCTGTGACAGCCAGTAGTGCAGGTGTCTGAGAAGGCATCTTCCACCACCCCTGCTCCTGCTACAGCACATTACAAGTGCTGCCTCTCTTATTCCGCGTTGGGTAGGACCAGGAGCTGGGTAATTCCCTTGTCTCTTCACAGCTCTGAGAATCCTTATGACCATACTGCTGGCAACAGGCACTCGGGAGACAAGAGGTATTTTCCTGTCCTGGTGGAGCAGTTGGCTCTTCCTCCTCCTCCCTTTCTTGACCTGGAACTGAGTCTTCGTGTCTGTATTAAGGTGGTTATTCAGAAGTGACAGAATTCACCTGGGAGATGGGGCGAACTTTGGTGTTTGCCAGACTCTGCGTCCTCAGGACTAGCTGAAGACTCCACACTCTCAAATCATAAGACTTACTGGCATCTCACTCCTCTGATAAAAGCCTCTGTGTTCTGTGGTCCCACCGCAGTATGTGCATTTGAGTTCTTATGCTTCGCAGAAGTGTCTACAAACCTTGCATACATACTATACACAGTATGCAAGTCACTGCCTTGTCCCTTGAATGACTGCTGGTTTTCAGGCCAAACACTTACTGCAACAGGGGATATGTGTAGAGGGATGTCAGTTCTGCAGCCTTTGCACCCCAAAGCTGTTCTGATTTTCAGCTCAGGATCTTAATGTAGTAAGGAGCTAAAGTCCTAAATAGGAATTAAGAGTTTAAATATTTCCTGAATCTGATGTGACATATTTAGGAGGCTGTAAAATTGCTCATGACCAGATATTTCACTACCTATATAAAGGCATTGTAAAATTTTGTGGTTAGTTTATCATGCACACTAAATTTTCATATTTCTTGTTCTGGTATATTTATAGTCAAATGTTCTTGAAATTGTTTAAAGATGATTGTTAGTGTGAGGCAGGCTTAATGCTGTTTGGGGTTTTTTTGTTTGGTTGGTTTTTGTATTTGATAACCGTATGGTGTGAACATCAAGACTGCTTTCTCATTTAAATAGTAGGTAAGTACAAAGTGATTAGTTTACCTTCTTTCAAGAAATAAATGATAAGCTGTTTCTAGACATTTTGAGGGAAATAATGAGTATTTCCTGGTGGGTGATTTGTTTATTTTTTTAAAAGATAATTTCCACCTCCTCCTCAAATGACTAGAATATATCAATGACTGAACATTTTTAAAGCATTTTGTATTATTCGTTGAACAGGAAATATGCTGCTATTGGGGACTTACTATAACTGGGTTTTCTGGAAGCTCATCATGGGACAGGAGTTTGGTATCTCAGTGAGTAGAACGTAAGCATAAATGCAACATTGTCTCCTACTGGTCGGAGTGTTTTATTGTATGTGTTACCTCTTTTATTTGGGAATGATCTTAAGTTTGGTTCCTACGGATATTTCTGTATTATACTCTTCTTTCCTTTTTCTTCTCTTTCTTCTCCTTTCTTTTACCTCTGCTATTTTTTTTCCCTTCAACAAGGGAGTCAGCGAATAAACATACAGTTTTTTGCACGTAGTTCTTGCTTTGCTTCTTTTGAATCCTGGTGCTACATCCTCATGAGCAATTTTCATATTGCGCCATGGGATTAAAAACAGGAACAAAATATCCACATAGTGAACTCACAGTTGATGGATTCCCTAGAAGGGCATATTTTCCTTAAACAGCACCAAAAGCAACTTTCAGTTTTTCTCTTCTAGAATGTCTTTTGCTTAAAACCCTAGAGAGAGAAGACATGAAAGATTGATATCTGGTTTTGTTAGTCACACCATGGGAAGTGTGCTTTGCTTCTTTGCTTGCTTTCCATGTTTGGGTATGCAGGGCATTTGGGAACAGTGTTAATATATAAAATGCTAGGCTGGCCTTACAAGCCCTGCTTTTCCTACCTTCTGGAAATGTCAGTTGATTTCCCCCCAGTTAGCCCTTTCATTGTGAGTCAGTTGGTACCAATCCTATTCAATTTTGAGTATGTCTGAATGTTAAAGGCATGAAACTCAACAATAAATAAATAAACCATGTTTCCAGTTTCTATCTCAGTAGTAGTACCCTCATTGGATGATCTGGTATGTTTTCAGAGACTGAAGTAATGGTCAGAATTCCATTTGAAATTGAATATTTAATGAAGTCTGTATAAACTTTTTTGAGTGGTGTTTCGTTAGTGTACAGAATACCGTAGATTGCTGCCTAGTGATGTTTTCTGTGTTAAAAATCCTTTTTTTAACTTGCCATGAAATATAACATTTATTTCCCATCAGCCAAACAATCTATAAAATGTTTTTATTCATTTAAGAATACAAACACAGAGGAGCTGCGCAGGGAAGTGGTTGAGTCACCATCCCTGGAAGTATTGAAAAGACGTGTAGATGTGGCACTTAGGGACATGGTTTAGTGGGCATGGTGGTGTTGCATTGACAGTTGAACTCGATCTTAGAGGTCTTTTCCAACCTTAATGATTCTATGATTGCTTTGGATCCTTATGGAAAATATGAACAGTATATGCATGTTTTTTAAGAGTGAGAGGAGAAGCAGTTTGTGGCTGTGCCCCAGTAAGCAGGGCACAGCAAGGAGTTGGTCAGATGGGGTTCTAGCCTTGCCTCATAGCACTTGTTGGTTTATGCTTGTTGGACTTCCACTTCACTACTCTAATGTCTCTTGCTTGTTTTGACTGTAATCTTTTGACATAGGTAGCATGTAGCACAGAGGGAGTCTGTTGTCACCTAGTACTGAGTTTATGCCCAGAGACACTGACTTAAATATATCTAATGTATGAAACAGGATGAAAGAGATTCTGCAATGGTGTACGAAAATAATTTAATAGCGTGAATGCAGTGCATACCTTCTGTAATGTAGTTTGTGTGTCTTTGAAGAAGATGGTATGAGAGAGAGGTGGTATGAGGATACAGAAGTTTTTGGTTCTGAATGTTTTTCTTTGTTAAATAATAAACAGCTCAAGTGTAATGTTCTGTTCAACTTTAACTCTGTTAGAATTCCTTACCTGACCTGGGGAGAAAGAGTACAAGTAAAGGAGAAGATCTTATTTGATGCATTTATAGTAACAGACCTTCACTGTCTTTTACAAGCAGTCTGAGTTCTTGAGAATAAAAGTAGTGAAAATGTTTGGGGGGTCAGAAATTTACATGCATTTCTTTCCCCAGGAATTAATGAGAGTATAGATGTCTACTTAAACTGTTCATGTGATGTCCACTTAAATTATATATGTGAAAACTTAAAACCATCAGAATTTTAAACTCAAAGTTGCTGGTCATATTACTATGAGCATAAAACATCTCGTTCACAAACAGTTTAAAAGAAGTTTTGACTTTAATTTAAAAATGTCATCTTCTTACACAGCTAAATTCTAGTCATGGGAAGTTCTTGGGGAGTGAGCATACATATGTATTACGTGATTTTTGTGTGGAAGCAAAAGGAGAAAGGAAATATGACACTTCCTATAAGCATGTATTTAAGTATTACACAAATGTAACTTTCACATTTGTGTTTCAGGAAAACCAGATGCCTCTGCTAAAACTCTTCTGGATCAGGAATGTACAAACCCTATGAGTTACTCAAGTCAGCTAGAAGACTCTGGATGTGATGTGTCTAGTGACTATGCATTTGATTCTTTAGGCATAACTTCTGATTTTCACCAATCTGAGCATGTCGACACTTCTAAACATTGGTTGGAAAGACTTCCCCCATTGAATCTTTGCTGTAGTAGCAAGGAGGAATCTCTGACTGCTCCAGTGCAGTTTTTGCAACATCTGCTTGAAATAAGAAAACTGTCAGAAGGAGGAATTCTTCAAGCAGACTTCACAGAGCTTGAGAATGATTCTTTCACTGTATGCCATTCAGTGTCTCAGTTGCTTGATGGACTGACTGTTTTTTACAACAGTCCTAAATTTCCAGTTTCTAATTTTCTTACTGAAGCGGTTTGTGTTTTGATCAGTTTAATAACTGATACTAAATTATCTAATCATGTTTTGAAGAAGTGTTTCAAGAAGCTGGAAGAATTTAAGAAAAATCTAATTCAGATTATTTTAAGAAACAGCAATGTCAATAGGGTAAGTTTAAAACATCTTCAGTCTTTCTTACACCATTTCAATATACGGTAATACTCTCCTGGTTTTATGCACTTTTTGAAATATTAGTTTGTCTTACTATATTTTGAAGAGTACTTCTCCGAGATTTTTTAATTGTTCGTTTTTGTGATATAGACAATAAATGCTCTAAAGCATTTGAAAAAGTTCTTGCTCATGCATGCAAGTTCTTCTAGTCTATTCCTGAGTACAGGAGTTTTTAAAAAAACTGTTAAAAAGGCAGATTAAAACAACTTTATAGAAAATATGAGAGAAAACCACATTGTTTCTCATGCTATATGAAGATATAGTGTAGATATTCACAAAGTAATGACTATAGAATTTTTTATTCTTTCTTGTGCACCTAGATTAATAGGTTGGTTTGCTTCAAAGATATCAGTCACTCTCTAGACATTTGCAAATTCATATTTTAAAAATAAATCAGCAAATGAGTGAAAAATTCAGAAATGGCATGGCCCCAGCTCGAACAGCAAATAGGACTGAGCTGCATTTTGTCTGTATTCATCATTTTGCATTGTTGCATGCATCATCTTGTTAGTTTCCTCATTCAACTGAAATATCCCTAGTCTGTCTTCACAAGACTTCCCATAAGTAGTGAATTCCATTGTCTGTCTTAGGATTTTCGGTTTTCATTCTGTCTTTTAGAGTAACTTGGAACAGGCATGATGGTGGAATTGTTTGAGACTTAAATGTACCAATTTAGTGTCCACATGTATGTAACTACACTACCATTGTAGTAAATTGAGATAGTATCCCTATAATCCTTGGAGCCTAAAGAATGCTGACCCCATACTAGGTCCCTATTTTACGATGAGCGCTAGAGTTGCCTTTAGCAAAATGAGAGCCTAGCCATCTGCTACACCTATGGACAGATGTACCCATTTGTCTTAATTTCAAATGAATCCCACTCACTGTGTATTAAGTATTTACCCCAGAATGTAAAAATCAATTAAGTATCATTACCAAACTGGGGGGGGGGG